TTGTATGCCGGCGGTGAATATCTTTGTGGTGTAAGCACGTACCCATGCTTTTTTTGAAGAATATAATGTTTTTAGATACTTTACAACTCTAGGCTCATTATATTTCTTAATTAACTGTTTCTATTTTTGTTCAAAAACTTCCGGAACAAGAGAATTTCTAGCAGTGTAAAAATCTTGAACAAACTTCTGATACTGTTGACCCAACTTAGCCTCGAGATTTCGAAGAAGGTTTTGTGATATATGGAATATACAATACATGGCATAAGATTGTTCATACTCCTTGAAGATTGCAAGATCCAAAGCCGGATCAGCATCGGTCATAATAACAGCTGATATATAGCCTCCAGTGGCCTGTTTTGTCTGACATAAAACCCACCAATACGAATCTGCTGACTCATCGTTCATAAGCGCACATCTAACTAGTCGGGAAGACCCGTAATTGTCAACACATAAGAAAAGTAAGAGGGCCATATCATATCGGTTTGTTTTTGCGGTATTATCGCTAAGTATAATATCACAATACTCTATCCAAAGGATGATCTGATCGGGAGATATCCAAAATAGCTTTTGAAGGCTATGTGATTCTCGGTCCCACTCATTGCAACATACCATCGAAGATCTTCATTTTTTCTTCTTACTAATTTTTCGTACAATGATGCAGCATCATTTAACATATCCTTTCGTTTCCCACTATAATATTTTGCTGTTGCTTTATGAATTTTAGAAAGGTAAATTTCGTGGTCAGAAAATTCTTTTCGTAAAGCCCTCTGAATTTGTAGCGGCTTTAACTTAACAGTATTTATATAAAATTCTACCCTATCATACATTTCTTGGGTAAGTTCACTATCATTAAAAAATTTTGTTCTATAAGAGGACAAGTCATGATTATGACTATTGTCTAAAGTGGTAATATAAACATTTCCATTAGGATTATTCTTCTGTGGTTGTGACAAATTTATATGCCACGAATATTTGATATATTTTGTGCTTGTTTCTTTAGTCAATTGCATGTTTTTAGGTTTATATTCACCACTGTGTTCACACAATATTGTTCTTTTTCGTATAGTTCCATTAGAAGTCTTTTCAACACGTCCTTTCTTTAGCTTAAACCCTTTATATTGAGAATATAGTTTTAACGTGTCAAATGCTTCTTCTCAACTTTTAAATACCATTCCTTCGTATAACTTCTCTTTGGAACAGTCCAATCTGATATTTTTATTTTCTTGAACAACAACTACTGAATCATACGTTGGTCCATTAAATTCAAGATCATATATCGGCTCATCAGACTCAAGACCATGTGCTGATTCACCAAACTCAAGATTACCAAGGTCTTTGAAATTGGATGTACTTTCATTATGTGCTATCTATTTTTGGATTAAAAGATATAAGTATAAGGAATAAGATATTATCGCAAATCCTCTAGCATTACTAATCTAAAAAACTTCGCTAAGTGAAATTTTTCTAGGTTGGCGATGCTAGAGTCATAATCAATATATTCGGATTAAATTAAGAGGTTTAAACATTACCTCATTTTTAAAACCCACGTTGTTTTGTTATTATGCTTTGCTCGTCACTATTCTTTGCTATTACTGGTTTTTATTGTAGTTGCTAGGATTGTGTTTTTATTACTAGATAGCAGAGAGAATTTATTTTACTGCCAGGAATATCTTTGTTCTGGTTATCGGCTATATTTTGTAAGCGTATTTGATTCAAAATTAAGGGTACTAAATTAAAAGTATAAGCTAAAAGTAGCGGTAACAAGTTAAAGGTAGTAAGTTAGTTAAAGGTAGTAAGTTAGTTAAAGGTAGTAAGTAAGTTAAAGGTAGTAAGTAAGTCAAAGGTAGTAAGTTAAAGGTAGTAAGTTAAAGGTAGTAAGTTAAAGATAGTATATAAGTAAGTTAAAAGTAGTAAATTAAAGGTAGCGACAGTAAGTTGGCTAATTCTTACCAAGTTTATTAAAGCTAAAGAGTATTAAAGAGTAGTAAGTTAAAGGTAATACCGTTAAGTTAAATAAAGATCTTTTATTAATGTTAGGCGTGAAAAATACCAGTTAGAAGCTCTTTGTTCGTTGTCACTTTTGCTAAATAAAACAACAGATATGCAAGATATAAAGATAAGAACTCAAAATAAAAAAATTTGGGGGCACAAAGAAAAAAAATTCTGAGATCCTGCAGTTATGTGTCGGCGTATTGCAAAAATATCTGGCGATCTGGGGGGATGCATGACTGTGCAGGTGCACGAAAAACATTTTCTCTACTTTTATATAGTAATAAAAATATCTAAAAAAAAAAATAATTTCTTATATAGGGACTTTCATATTAAAAAAGCCTTTTGTAATATAAACAATTTTGAAATAATTGAGTTTAATTATTTGTTTTGATTTTCAGACTAATCTAGGATTAAGCAAATTTTATAAATTTGATTAGTTAAATATAACAAGTATCTATTAGATAATCTTATGCTGTGCTTGGCTTTGGATAGCTTTATACAATTTTCTTTTATATTATCTCTATTTTTTATTATGCAAATTACTTTTTATTTATAATTGAAAAATATTAGTCATATTAAAATTTATATAAATTTAATAAAAACTTATTTTCAAAAATTTTAAAATCACAACTCTTTCTAACGATTACTTATACCAAATATTCAACCAACAAAAATAGAAAACTTGTTGGAGAAAGTAGAAGAAACAACTAAAATAACCGTTTTTACAGAGGTCAAGGCTTTAGATTGTTTTTATCTGGACTCTTTTATATATTCAGCAAGCAAGTTAAAAGTGTTCTTGTACAAGATAACTAGCAGAAGGTGGCACCCTTGTTCAAAAAATTTTAATAGAAGCATAGTTTCTGCTGACGAAGTTAAAGTTAGCTGGTCTAAAGAAGAACAACAAACAAGTTTTCAACATACTCCTTATCGAAGTTTAAGACTACCTGCAAACTAAAACCCTCTACCAAAACCCCACTCTATGTTCTTTACAAAATTTTGACAAAAAATAGAAAATTTGGCATATTCCATCAAAAGATTAACAACAACAATCACTGCCAAAAAAGAAAAGTCATGTATAGGAATATATGTCTACTTTAGAATGAAAAACGTATTATTCTTAAGAGGTTGCGATATTTATACCAAGATCTCTAGGTTATCAACTTTGCCCAGGAAACAAGCAATTAAGCATGAGAATGTGTTGCAGGATACTATGCTGAAAACTTGGTGAGACTACAAGAGAAATTTTAAACTTGGATCTATACTCAAAAATAGATATTTTATATATCTTAATATAGACATAAATAATTAGCGTAGAGTTTAGACTAGTTTATTTAGTAGTACTATATAATTTTTACAATCTGGCATGGTTTTAATAGTGCTATTTTTGTTTTTTTTTTTTTTTCAGCATGTTCTGCTACTGTTTTATTAAGGTTTTAACCAAGCAAAAATTACAAGAATTCTTAACTAGTTATTTTTTAACCGCAAACAGTGACTCACTCAACTTAAAAACCCAGGTACGATATCATCTAGTAGCCGTTTACCTCCCTTCGGGCTCCTAACTTCCTAGAAGTATGAATTTTTCAATTATTGGCTAGTGCTACAAGCTATATTAGTATCATTTTTTCTTTTTACAAACCGAAATACAAACACAAATTCAAAGGGCAAAAAAAAAAAAAAGAGGTGATATTTTGGCATCCAAATTCAATTTATCTAAACAAAAAAAAAACAAAATAGCATATAAAAGAAAAAACAAAATAAAAGAAAAAACAACAAAGATAGCACTATTAAACTTATGCCAGATTGTAAAAATTATATCTACTAAAAACTAGTCTAAACTTTATGCTAGTTATTTATGTCTATATTAGGATATATAAAATATCCATTCTTGAGAAGAGATACAAGTTCAAAATTTCTCTTGCGGTTCTACCAGATTTTAGCGCGGTATCCTGCAAATATATTCTTGTACTTAATTGCTTGTTCTTGAGCAAAGTTAACGATTTATGCTTTTTCAGCTTCTGTAAATTTTAGTGTAAATACTGTAACCTCTTGAGGTAACCAATCAAACGTTTTTCATTCCAAAGTAGGCATGTACTCCTGTATGTGATTTTTTTTTTTGGTAGCAATTGTTGTTATTGATTTTTTAATAGGGTACGCCATATTTTTTACTTTTTGTCAAAATTTCATAAAAAACAGAAAGTGGAGTCTTGGAAGAAGGTTTTGGTTTACGGATAGCCTTAAACTTCGATAAGGAGTATATTAAAAACTTGCTTGTTGTTTTCCTTTAAACTAGCTACATTTAACTTCGTCAGTAGAAGCTATGCTTCTATTAAAATTTTTTGCACAAGAGCGTCACCTCCTCCAGTTATCTTGTACAAGAACACTTTTAACTTGCTTGCTGAATATATAGAAGAGTCCAGAAAGAAAGTGATTAAAATCTTAACCTCTGTAAAAACCATTACTTGTAGTTGTCTCTTCTACTTTCTCTAACAAGTTTTCTATTTTTGTTAGTTAAATGTTTGATACGAGTGATTGTCAGGAAGAGTAGCTATCTTTGTTTTCTTTTCTTTTATTTTGTTTTTCTTTTATATATTATTTTGGTTTTATTTGTTTAGATAGATTAAATTTGGATATCAAGATATCTTTTTTTTTTTTTTTTGCCCTTTAAATTTGTGTTTGTATTTCGTTTTGTAAAAAGAAAAGATGATACTGATACAGTGTATAGCACTGGCCAATGATCGAAGAATTTATGCCTCTAATAAGTTAGAGGTCCGGAAAGAGACAAACGGCCACTAGGTGATATCACACCTGAGCTTTTAAGTTGAATGAGTCACTGGTTGCAATTAAAGAAATAACTATAGTCAAGAATTTTTGTAATTTTTGCTTAGTTAATACCTTAATAAAACAGTAGCAAGATATATTAAAAAAAAAAAATAAATAAATAAAACTTATTTTTTAAAAAATTTGCAAAATAGGTCTTTTTAATATAAAACACTCTATATAGTAATGATACTTAATTTTTTCTAATTATAAACAATATATAATTTTTATAAAATTAAAAATTAGTTTAATAAACAATATATCTGTCATCTGAAGAGGATCTGCAAATTTTTATAAATAAATTTTTTATTAAGCAAATCACTCTTAGGCTTTTAACAAAAGTTGTAGAGCTTATCAAGACACATTTAACAGTAGTAAAAATATTAAAATTGGTCTTGTAGTTCTTGAAAAATTTTTAAAAAACATTTTACTAACATATAAAATTTCTTTAAAAAAAATTAATTTTTTTTAAAAAAATTTTATATGTTAGTGAAATATTTTTTAAAGATTTCTCAAAAATCACAAGACTGATTTTAATATTCTTACTACTATTAGATGTGTTTTGATAAGATTTACAACTTTTGTTAGAAGCTCAAAAGTGATTTACTTAGTAAAAAAAAGTTTTAGATTGAAGCGCTCTATATTTAACTTAATACAGTCTGGGAATATACCAAATTAGGAAATCGCATTCTAGAATGATCTACGAATAGATTCTTGATTTTGA